ATCGATYGATTGATTGATTGATTGATTCAATGATTGAATACCTCTGCACTAAATAAATCAGCTCCGTGAATAATCCCAACTTCTGTCCAGTGAGAGAAGTGTTTAATGAAAGAAATTCTCAAATCATCGAGTGTTGCCAAGGAGATGAGCGTGCGAAAGAAATACGGATACAAATGACGKTTTTTGGCTAAACCAAGGTCGGTAGTACCATATGAAAACTGAAGAAAAGATGGAAATAGCATTTTGTTAATCTACATTTCTGTACTGTGAAATCTCAAAAATTTGATTCTTCTCATGTATTCCCTGACGATGCTGGAGATACCTAGGGTCGGTCTATTAGAATRTACGCTGTAGACCSCCGTACTGAGGCAAATATGGTCAGATTATTATGATATACCTGTAGAAGCCTATACTGAGGCAACGCAGCATAATTTGCTACTGATTTTGCCTCTTCGTTGWCCACAGGACCAAGAAGCATGATCTTTTTAGGTCCATTGTCTAAGTAACTTTGCACATCAGAAGCTAGTTTAAAGTTGCCATTCTATTGGATTTGAATACAATGGTTAGTTGGTGTGTAAAAATGATGGGAACTAGAGGTTAAGTTAKTATTKTTGACTGGTTAGTTGGCAGGTTGRTAAATGGGTTGGTATTGTTAGTGTAGATTAGTGTGTTCAGGTCGGTTGGTCTGCTGGTAGGTTGGTTGGCTTTTTGTTAGTTGTTTAAATGACTTGTTGGTTTATTGTTTGRTCGGTTGATGAAAAAGAAAGCCCATACACTATAGAGCAAATCTCACCYGTGTGTCGTTGACCAGCAATTCCAGGCGATATCCTGGTAAGAAACTACTATTATTGATTTCTTCTACAGCTATCTGTGCTGCAGGAATAACTTTCCAGGACTCKTYATCACCCAAGTTAAATAAACCACCTATGTACAGTGTTTTAGTTGCTATGACAACTTGAATCACATGACACGTGACCAACAGATGTACTAGTGACGTCATAATCTGGAAATAGCAAAAAAATAATTTAAATTTGGTGATGGTTAATAGATAAACAGTATCAATGCAACAATTATCGAATAAAAGATGGCCGGACTATTAAGAATTGCCTGGTTTCTAAACACTCCCTAGAGATTCCAAAGACAAAAGATTGAATGCTATACTAGTGCTATAAGGAGTAGTATAATAATGAGAAAATATTTTTTAGAAGTTTCTCCAATATGGCCGCCATGACAACCTTCAGTTTAAGAACACCATGCAACACGAAAAAAAAAAACGATTGAAGAAGGAAATTATATAAGGTAGGAATTAATCATAATTGTTTGTGCCGGAAAACCCTTAAATATTTTCACTAAGGTACTAACAATTGTGGTAGAAACTCATCATGTTTCATTGAAAGTAGTCACGACTTTTAATTTGAGGAAGACAATATGATTAACAAGAACTCCCTTGCGATTAAGAGAGCCGTTTGAGTTACGCAATGTAGATTTGAACATTGTCAATATAATACAGCAGCAAATTGTCGTTGAAGTAGTTCAGGTACAAATATAATCACGTTGAGTAAGCTTGGTTTCCAACCCAACTAATCCCATTATTGAGAAGAATGTTTGTAGTCAGTAATCTTGAGTAATAACTTTAACTTATCACATCTGAAGGTTAATTGGCGTAATATGGCGGTGCAGTGCGGTGTTGCATCTACTCGTGAAGATTCCAATCATCCGATTTAGTTCATTATTATTGCTTTATAGTGTAAAATTAACTTTTTACTTTGTTATTTGTTTCTATAGAAACACTAATGATAACATGGTATAGTTTAACTTTGATATTTTTCAAGATGGCTTAGTCATCAGTCACCAAACGTTTCGGGCTGAATAATAGATAATAAAACGATTTTGTTTGTGCTTACAGGACTTTTAGATAGTTTAATTGTTGAATCAATTATTGTTTGATGATTTTGAACAACAAAGTATAGTGAAGCAGATTGTAAGGTCATGTAATACGGTGGACAAACAGCTAGAACGAAACGTATACGAGTTAAAACAACAGCGTTATACAGCTATGCCGTTCTTACAACCAAATCTCGCTACAACAAGCGTCATTCTTCTTGGGCTTATTCCTTTTTCTTTTACAAAAAATATGAAAACAAGATGGTAACAGTGATGGAGCTTTGCAGAACAACACGTTTGCTGGTCAAAAAACCTTTAACAACCTGCCAAAAGGACAGTTTGTTTGAGAAAAGTAGATCAGACGCTCAGACGTTTATTGTCCGAATTGTACAAACAGTTAGTTTCAAGAATCCTTTCTTCAAAAGAGAAACAATGAAATATTGAACCATATGCTGAGAAAGACATAAAAAGGTCATACATATYGGAATACTTTCTCTTTCTAAAAAAAACATTTTTGGATAAATCGTAARTAAATAAACCTCAACTTGTTATATTTAAAGATACTTACATTTTAAAGATTCTTAAAGGTTGCAAATAGTMCAACAAAAWTTTGGSTTGATCGTCTTTTTGAGCGGTACGTGCCCGAAGTAAAAGAGCAAGGCGTGCTTTGAGGACTGTGTAGTATGAGTCAGCTAGTCTTCAACTCAATCTTCAAGGATTAACACTTGACGTTAAATACGGCGTCAAGCACATTACCATCTTAACCCTTAGCAACTACTAGTCGACTTACGATAGCACAAAAAAATCAGAAAAAAACTACGCGAAATATAACAAAAAACACGCATTCAAAAGAAAGTCTTCATACTAAAGCAAATAAAAAGACAAGAAATAACCTTTGAAATGGTAGTGTTTTGTTATAATATAATTAAAAATTACAGTAATGTAGAGTTGAAGGTCAATTGTCATAGACAATCCTAAACTGTCTAAGTTAATCGGGATTGCTATGGTGAAAGACAATAAACTTAGAGTGTTTATTTCAGTGTATAGGAGCCAAGGGAGGGGTGGGAAGGGGTCTCTGCAGCCCCAAAAGTATAAAATAACTGGACGACTGCATAGTTTTGAACAACACATCGTATYATAAACGTATTCGCCTTACACAGACCAAAGCATATGATAGTATAGTAAATGGAGTAAACCTTGTATCATGAAAGACAGYACGTTTCTGCACTTGCTCCCATCAAGTGAACACTGTACCTCGATTTTATTCTCACACGCGAGAAATGCTAAATCTAAATGGACAAAAACAACTGCCTGTTTGAAATCAAAACGTTTATACAAGAAGAAACTTTTAAAACGTGTGACTTTGTGTGTGTAAACATTGATTTAAGAGCACGCACAGAGTAATGCAGTCGGCGACCGCAGCCGAGAATATGAGAGGTTTGGGTGCATTACCAATGAAGGACAGACTACGAAAAACTTTTCTAGATTAAATATACCGTCGTTTTACCGTAAAAAAGGCCATCTATTTGCTTCTAGTAGAGCACAAGCTATAAATCGTCAAACAAACACAAATTACTCGACTGGAGGTCTTGTTGTCGTACAATGACCATTATAGAAGTTCTTCAGTTTCTAACCAAACTGAACAGTGTTCTTTTTCGCAATAAATCGTAATTAAGCAAGAGCTATATTCCCTCTTATAATAAAAAGATTTCTATTCGAAAATAAGCCAGTTAATTTAGGTAATTTATAACATTAACGCTCGGTAAATAAATCGTTTGTCAAAAATCAAGATTAAATTGAAAGTAATGCCATCATGGAGCAAGTGCAGGCAAGACACCTTCACAGTTCAGGTCCAAAACTTGTCATGTGCGCATACAAATCTTTTCAGACTTTAGAAATTCACGTGTAATGTTAGCTTTAACCAAAATCATTGTCTCGAAAGAGCTGTTTTATAAAATCTGTAATGTGTTTGGTAATTCAATGAAAGTCGGTTTCTGATACTCATACATATTTTCCAATTCAAGTCATAATCCGGACAATCCTCTGATTCGGCAGACACCGATTGTGAGACAGAAAAACAACTTAACTTCTCCTTAAAATGCGTGTTTTCAGGTATCAATTTTTTAGTATCAAGGATAATCCTTTGATAAGAGTTGAAAGTTTGTTGGAAGTTTGAAAACTAACCTTAACTTTTACGATCAAATTGTCCTCTTAAAAACGTTCAACGCTGTCCAAGACTCTACCATACACTGATCGAAACCCCATCCTGTTCGTTAATAGTCTTTAGTTGTTCTGAGAGTAGTAATCAAGYAGATTTTGAGGCTAAGAGTAAAGCGCTTATCTCGTCTCGTATTATTGTTATATTGACAGTACGACAATGAACCACGACMGTTCATTTACATATCTGACAGGTTTAATATTAAAACGAATCTAAAGTTTATTTGTACAACCAAATCCTATGACGGCTGACGTTATTGAGGAGTAYAAACGTGGTTAAGGTGTTTAATGAATTGAAACACTATAATATAACTAACAAACTGAACCATAGCAACACCATCACACATCATTCCCATCCCTATCCCCAGCCTCCAATCAATGATTGCAGTAAATGTAGTTTGTATATGCAAATCACTGGATTACATGTAGGGGAGCATCCAGGAATCGTCGTGGGGGGTTCCTTACAYACAAAATTCTAAATATGACGTCACATGACATCAGTGTGACGTCATAGAAATGACAGATCGACGTCATAGAAATCTATTGTTTTAAATCCGAAAGAATCATGGAGAAATAAGAAAACTCGTCTGATAAAGCGAAGTCTAAACGAATCTTCGCATACTGTAACTTGAGATTTTATATTTTTGTAAGATTTTAAAATTTATTTGGCTTTGAAAGGGGGATCACGGGTTCCCCTACTACCATGCTACCATGCACTTATCATCATTATCAACAACAACAACATCATCATCATCATCGTCGTCATCATCATCATCATCAACATCATCATCATCATCATCATCATCATCATCGTCATCAACATCATCATCATCACCATCATCATCATCATCATCAACATCAACATCATCATCATCAACATCATCATCATCATCATCATCGTCAATATCATCATCATCATCATCAACATCAACATCATCATCATCATCATCATCATCATCATCAGGTCTTCTTAGTTAGATAAAAACATATTAACATTTATCCGATTTACAAATAAACAATTGCTGGTCAACCAACTGGTCTGTCGCCTAACGAGTCGATTTCAAGTGAACCATGCATTTTGAATTGCTAACAAGAACATCGAGGTCAGGAAAGTTGCTCGGTAAATCTGCTTGATAATATTCTTTATCTTTTAAGTTGATAATCGACATAGCCTAGCCATATACAGCGAAATAGGGCAAGATCTGCTTTGAAATACATTGTTTTGACTACACACATCACTATGGACGAACATTATACATCGAATAATAAACGCACGTTAACCATGAAACATGTCTGTACAGTTTAAATACAACTAACACACTTCTTGACTACTGTACCATTGGAAAGAGTGTGAAGACGTAACCATGCTAAGAATATAAAATATAAAATCAATATAAAAATCTCTGCTCACCTGGAATTATACAGCACTGACTTCTCGATAAAATATATAAACTAGACAGTGTCTATCTCACGGTTCAAGTGAAAAAGATCATTGTCAAGTTCACTTATCCAAAAATCATGTTGAAAATGGAAGGCTAGTTTCYTRAAAAACCTTCGAGTTCCAAGACAAACTGTGAGTTGTTAGCAACAAGAGATCACAAATTTTGTAATGCATACAAGTAAAGGAACTTTCGAGAATTTTACAGTAAGGAAATCTACAGCGGGTGGTCAAACAATTCAAACATGATTTGAAAAGATCTTCCTCTCGTCTAGCTAATAGAATATACATTAGATTCTAAGTRTAGTGTCAAGTTTTAAGTTTTAAAGTTTTATTGATATATCAATACAATTTTTAACAAGGTTTTAACCCGATTCAGTTTTCAGGCCGAAACTATCAGCTCTATACACTTACAAATCATTGAAAGAGCCGTCGTTACGGTTAACGCAAAGCTATATCAAATCAACAGAGTAAAATTGTTAATGTGAAAATACATACTGTGWGCTGAAGTTTGCGATTTCTCCTCTCGGAACTTCTTGGGTAAAAATTGCACTCGTGAAGCCCATGTTATGAACATTTGAGTTTCATGTTTTACGATTGGTTTACACTATTAACATTAAGACGTTTTCGATCTTGTTTATTAAGAAACTAATAAAAAGAGCTTTTCTAAAACAATCATTGGATAATCCCAGGAATTAMAGCGAAGAGAAAAGAGTCCTTTTTTGAACTTATTCGTTATTAATATCGTCACTTATACGCAAGGAGACACGCTAGGCTGCGAATTTCTCGTTAAAACTACATAACAATCAGTCTTACACTATTGTTTCTGTGTTAATGAATATGTTCTGGTAAAATCTGCCAAGTTTGCCGTCACGGAAGTTTTTATGAGATGTTCACTCAATCGATTTTAAAATTTGAAAACGTGCGCTCAGGTTCGCAAAGAATTGTTGGTAATATCTAATCATGAGTTGTGATTGGCTAATAGTTGCTACGTTTCAAGAAGAGTGTTAAACGTTTCTGTAGCAAACGTTGAAAGAACCTCAACTTTCCGTGGTAGCGAACCGAGACTTTTCTAGAAACCTGTCCAGTAAAACTTGTTTGTCAAKCCACACGTCAGTTTTTGCGGAATATTTTGCATAGTGAAACGAGTCTYATTTATTGTGGATATATTAATATCCTAGACATGGGAACGAGCCAAATGACGACTGCGAGAGGAGACTATGGAAGCTGACTATGAATAATATACAGTCAATACCATTAACGTCGATCAGTTTTAATGGCATTAAGCTATTCATCAAGGTCATTTGCGTAAAAATGGTTTAAATTGTCGGGAAGGTTTTTAATAGGCGACTTTAGATATTTTGGTTCAGTGACCATGCATAAAAGAATTGCAGACGAGGCTCCGGGGAAATAAAAGAATAAAACAAGATTACCCGTTGTTTTCCCGTAGCCTCGTGTGCGTTCAGTTTTCAGTGTACATAGTCATCGAACCCAAATATCTAAAGTTGACTATTCAATCAACTGTTCGCCCATCTCCCCTTGAGAGTTATTTGGCTGTCATTCTTATTGCTAAAACTCCAGATAAATAGCAAGTTAAATGTTGTAATGAAGTGCTAAATATTCTTGTAAAAATTRAAAATGTGATATATCATATGCACGTGACTTGGTTGTTCATGTCTATACTACTACACAATGTTAATACTGATTGTCTGTAAAGTTAATCAAAACAAAAAAACATGAAGTGCTAATGACATGATTACCACGAGACAAAGAACTCAAATCATCGATTATAGAAATACCACAAACAACTTAAATAAAATATTAGCCAGAACGTATCCAAAACCTCTGCTTTAGTTGGAAGACTTTAAAAATCCAGTTTACAGGATATTTTATACGAAAGAATCACATAAAATATTAGCATGYATTTGGCGGTGTGTTTTCGTGTGTTTTGAACAAAAAAAACCCGCGTCATTTCAAGGTTGATTGGTATGACAGTGTTATGAGCCAATTAGGTGATTGCTTGTCGTTCCTGCTCACTAACGATTCATGACATAACGTCATAAGMCTGCATTTTATTCAGTATACTTGGTTTCTCATAACAAGACGAACTTGTTAGATTCCAAGCCTCAATTGAAGAAGAATTTTAGCGACATAAAGGCAACAGCACCTTCTGAGAAAAACAAAAAACTCTACAGGTCGAAGAGAAGAATCCYTAAAATGAGTTGTATGCTTGTAGCTTTACTTTTGGTGTCGACAACAGGTACGTCTACTCCATCAAATGTTATTAACTATTTAGATTGTAATGGAGTTTCCAATAAAGCARCAAAAAGATATTCTGGCGACCAATTTRTGCTGTTTTGCTTTACAAACATTTCAYGGTTAACTGAAGACACACTTGTATTAATTAACGTAATTTTGATCGTTGTAAAGAAAATCTYTTATGTGATATGCTTAGAAATGGTCTTGATAAAAAAGCTTTTTAATCAAGCAAGTAATAACCTATTGGTGAAGGAAATCGACTTCTCGTAAAGTAAGCAATATCGGAGACCAAAAGAGTCAAAAACAAATGAATAAAACATCACGTTGGAATTGGTGCTTAGTGACACAAAAACGTTCCAAAAAACTCGTTAAGTCGAAAGAAAAGCACATAAAACTTCACAACGCGTAGATTATATTAGAATCAACCCGTCAAATGACGGGATAATTGTTTCAATTTTAAGAACATGTAAACACGATGCGAAACAGTGACTGATCTTCGATGTTTAACGATCGGGCAAATAGACAGCTGATCCAATAGAGTGATTTCTACATGAGATAAGTGAGTCTTACTTATTACTTATTATTGTTTTTAATTACGAAAATACTTTCACAAATGAGCACCACTACAAAAAGTAGAAACAGTCAGAACTTTTTTACTTGTAGTCGTAAAAATTGCGATAAATTTAATCCATTGGACTCTGACCCTTGAAGATATTCTTTTTAAATTCGACGAAGTAATGACCAACCTACCGAAGTTTGACGAACTCGTATGAAATGTCAGACGTTTTTCTATAGTTTATAATTTATAATTTTACCGCAACTTTTCATTTTAGAAATCCCGATAAAGCTCGCTGTAGTGTAAAGCTAATTAAGAACTTCTTCTTGTTAAATTCTGAAACACAAATGATTACAACAGTGAGAGGAGACCACAGATAAAGTATTAAAGAAATCCAAACCGAATCTATTAATTGTAGCGTGAACTATTCATTGTTTTATGAGTTACAGTTGACTGGTAGATTAAAACGCAAAGTGTATCAAAATGATTCCTACGATCTCCAACGGATGTTATTGATTTGTTTCCAATCCAGTTATACTTCWTGTTTCACTTAGTTTTGGCTTATTTATAGTCACTTAAGAGCTCTGACTCTATTTATGTAATCAATGAAGCACCTGAAATACGTCTTATCGCAAAGCATTGTGGACTGATTATTCGTTTTATTTCTATATTAATAGTTGCAAGACACAGTTTTATAATTCTGCTTGATTCTGTTTCTTGTATATCAACGTACATTCTATCTTATATCATTAATCCATTGATATCTTTATCTATAAATTACAAACTTTATAAATAGCTACATGAGCGCAAGTGTAATGACGTCATGGAATCAGTGACGTTGATGATATGTAGGTGGAAAGTGTTTCGTCATACACAAATAGATAAAATTGAAAACATACAACCTACTGATTATAGAGCGTGTGGAAGCCTTAGATTGCCTTATTTAATGTTTCACAGATTAGTGCGGTTTGTTTGATTGTTTGTTTTTGTTCGTTTGTTTGTTGGTTGGTTGGTTTATTCATTTTCCTTCATTCAAAGTTTCTAAAAAAAGTTTCTAATGATGTGGCATGCGCCTTATATGGTAGGTCACGTGTTTGCTCAAAGGTTGTCATCAGCTGAGAAGGCCCTTCGTGATAAACTATTCGACCCTGCGCATTACGACAAGGCTGCTCGTCCAGTCATTGACCACAGCAAACCCGTCAATGTCTCGTTTGCACTTTCCCTCAGTAAACTCGTAGAACTGGTAAGTCATACATTACAGACTTGTACCTCAGAAAAAAAAAACAAGTTGGCATAAAAACAAAAATATGAGCAAGAAAGAAAAAACGGACACTTATATGGAGGCGAATTGACCGATACTGAAAACGCTGCAGTTAGAATACAACTAGCGCGTTAACAGTGCGCGCCACTAGACCACGCTCATTTACAATATAGACGACTTGATACTTTCATCGAATAGACTATTCCTGTTTGACTATATATTTTCGATAGTTCCCTTAGTGCAAGGGGTTAATCTTCTATGGTCTAGGGCCTTATTAGCTTCTCCCTCACTGGCTTAGTCTAGATAGAGCGGAGTTTTTTCTTTCTCCTTTGTTTCTTTTCTATATTTAAGATTGTAAACAATGCTATTTTTAATATTTTAGTTTAATATTACTTTGTTTTTTCGCAGAACACTAAACACCAACTCCTTGTAATCGATTCATGGATAATTCAGGTGAGTAAAATAGTAACGACCAATAACATTCCTCCCCTTTAAATTATACAAATATTTCAGAGTAACTCCGARACYCTTTCGAAGTCCGCCGAGCATTTCCGAGAATACAGTMTAGTATTAATCGTTTTCAGCTCACCCATTCCCATGAGATTCAAAAGATAACAGACCGGCGGCCATATTGGAGGAGTGAGCAATAGATACTAATGAGAAATCCTTTGTTAAAGTTCCTCCAAGATGGCCGCTGTGACGTAACCTGAAAACGAAGAACAACTCTCCGTGTTTGAATAGCCTGCGTTGCATCCCTTTCTTTTCAAAAATTATATTTCATTATAAAATGAAAATTTATGATTTTAAATCTAACGACAAGTTTACAACATACTGATAGCGTCTTATAGTGTTGTACCTTATTCCTGTGTAGAGATGGACAAATCCATACCTGGCTTGGAATGAAAGTGAGCATAAAGGTATCCACACTCTTCATGTTCCGGCAACGTCCATGTGGGTACCGGACACAGTTCTCTATGACAAGTAAGTAATAAAATACAGTTGACACTCTATCTTCTACTAACTTTAATTCACAGTTAAAGCTGTGAATGTTTGCCAGAGGCAAATGGCAGGAGTAGTTTATATTATGTAGATAATTTCTGCKATGAAGTACAAAAATACAGTTGGCACCCCACATTTTACAATGATTTTAATTCAGAGTTAAAGCTGTGAATTTTTGCGGGAGGCAATTGACAGGAGAAGTTTATATTAGATACTTTCTGCGATCTTTTGAAAAAAGAAGAGAGTTAACATTTTGGTCATAAATCCGTGAACATTTGTTTTCGTTAGATCATAGTTAACTATGGTTAGATCTGAAAGACACTTTAAGAAATAAAGACAAGCTTATTTTTTTAACCCGGTGAAACGCAGCTTAATAGTCTAGTAGACAGACAAAAAAAACAATGATTTGAAAGATCACAAGGTTAATCTAGCCAAATCAGTATCATATCTATTTTGCGAGTAATTTGAATTTCACTTTGACTTTTCCGCTTCCAGAAATGTCGAACGGAAAGTTTTCTTCTCTTTTGTCAACAACATTCTTTACTAATTTGTTCTACTTGTTTCGTGTTAGCACTCTGACACCTCATCTTATCACAGTCGTTGCGAGTTGGTGACTTGACTTTACATGAAAACTTTTACAGGAAATAAATAAAATGCTCAAAAAATCGATCTCAAAGCCAGCGTATGAATCACTGCTTACTTACATTTTTCATTCTAGTGGCGACGATGAAGTTTCCCAGGCTGGATTCACTGAGAAATTCAAGACATTCGTCATGCTTGAAAGTAATGGATTATGYTCATGGATGGCACCATCGACATTTAAGAGTTCTTGTGATATTGACGTGACGAACTTTCCATTTGACACACAATCGTGTTCCATGACATTTGGGTCGTGGACGTACGATGACAGACTTCTGTCTATTAAACAACTTCATGGAAAACATAGCCAAGCAGGTAGAAGAGCTAAACGTCCAAAGCGTTGATGAGAGGTGTTGAAAGGAGGGAAGGTGGGAGGGGAGGCAAGGGAATAACTCCTCCCCAATCCCCTAGGACCAACCCTGCCATACAGCTAAGACTGKGTGACTTAAAACAAACTCAAAAATACCATTAAAATACTACTATTTTACGACGCTACATCGCGTACTGTTTGTTCCCCAGACCAAAACCCATTACTAACCTGTATTAATTTGAACATGTTGTTTTTCAGAGAGGTACGTAGCAAATGGTGATTGGAAAGTACTTGATGTAGACATTTCAAACCCGAGAAAGAACTACACCTGTTGCACGTACCCGTTCTCGTCTGTCGTGTACACATTTTCATTGGAGCGTAAACCAGCTTATCACGTGTTGTACCTTGTCGTTCCTTGCATTATCATATCATGTTTATCCGTGTTGTCGTTCTTCCTTCCTCCTGACTGTGGTGAGAGAATTGGAYTAAGTATTACAATCCTTTTAGCAATGGCTGTTTACTTGTTGATTGTGTCTGATATTCTGCCCGAGACATCGGATCATATTCCTAGACTTGGYCTGTATTACATGATAGTSATGGGATTACTTGCAATGGTTGTGGCAGCCACAGGAATAGTRCTGCGTTGTCATTTCTCACGYAGCAAGCCACCTAACATCATCGCRCGTTTCCGCCGCRCGAATCGTTCTCGAGTAGACGCTAAARCATCAAACTCTAAAACTACCCTGTCGTTGGTCACTCTCGATGGAAATCCACCAGCAACACAGTCAAAGCCTACGGAGAATGGCAAGATTCAGCAAAGTCCTGACGAGGACGTGGCAAAGMCTCCAACTGAAGAYGAGAAGGAGTYATGGGAAGAGTGTTGGAAAGACTTCGCTCGTCGACTCGACATAATCTTTCTTATTTTGTTTGCAATCTTGTTTATAATCACGACTTTTGCCACCTTGTTTTCCAGAAAGCCAMACAATCCCCCTAAATGACTTGTATGACATACGAACGACTTGTAATATAAGAGTCACTCGTCAACTTTGTTGAGTGAATCGATGCAGTTCGCAAGAGTTCATTGAGTTCTTCTAACCAAGCTTGCATCTCAATGCCATGCAATAAAAATTGTACATATGTTTCAATTTCTTGATTAATTTAGTTTGCTTTGTGATGATTTCGAACAATTTCAAACTTGTATCGTCGCAAATYGACTAAAAACTTGCAGRGATTTTAACATTGAATCCACAWCATTCTCGTCCGCCATCTTGGTCTTGGTAGCCATACCTKGTGAWGAAAACACAGGAAWCCCAKYTAWRCGTYCTCTTCAGCTCCTTACAGCAATATGAACTTAGAAATTGCATGTAAAGACAATTACGAATTAAATGTACATATATTGAGTGTTTATCTCTTGTCGACTGGAGAATAAATCCAATTAACAAATGATATATAAATCAGTTTTAAATTATGTCATTAAAACGGAAAAGGCTTAGCAGGTTTTCCTAGCTGCTATTTTAACATTTTATTATGTTTATTTTTCGTTCGTAGCATTCTAAAACTGCCAAAAAGTAATATGTTAGTTGAAATCATTAAAGATTAATGACACTCGGTTGTTTCGTTTTTATTTGCTGACTTTCATAAAATGGACGGGATTTGTATTCAGTTTTATGAAATATAAAGTCCTAGTTTCCGTCTTCAAACCAATATTCTTTTATAGTATCTATTAAGCCTTTCTGATCAATAACGTGAGCCTTTTTGCGTTGTTCGTGGTTTATTTTTTTTAAAGAAGTAATTAGTGCTAACTTTATTGAGGCTTGTTGGATATCTGTTACCGGTTGTCAGTCGCCTTCCGATGAGGAACGCCTGCTTTCAGGATATATGTTCCAGATAGTATTTCATGCATTTAAATTATAGATAATTCACTAAAACGGCATGACGCACTCTTCAATACATTTAAAACTAGAGGGCATTATTTTTTACATGTTTACGTTGAATTCTTAAGGCCTATTGCCAAGAGATTTTCATAACATTAAAACCGCTTGCCCACATGTAGCTCCACTGAATAGYGGACATACCCAATTAACAACGATCATCAGAACAGAAAATCCCTTGTTATTTGTTGAAAAAACTCATTTTGTATTTCAAGGGTTAGTTTAACACAGACGATCAGTCGTTTCGTTTCAAGCAAAGTTCGYTTCGCTGTGTGCAGAGTGGCTTTGTTTTGTTCTTACGGTTCGGTTTCAGATGGCCTTCACGAAACTGTTGTTGCTTGCTTGGTTTACGATTCTCGTTGGTAAGGTTTTTGTTTTTCTTTCCTTATTAGAAATGTTATTTAGTCAGGTTAATATTACAGTTGTATGGTAGATATAATATTAACAATTGTCTTAACTAAACGTCAACGTTCAAGTATCGAAATAACACCTTGTTTGATGTGGGACATCATCACTTCCACAGGCAGCAAGAATTCAATTCTACGCTGTGGTAAATGTTGTTTCTTTGTTTCTGTAAAAAAAGCCTTTAAATATATTCCTAACTTGCACAACTTTGTTTATGTCTGACTTGTTTTTGTTTAACACAGAAGTGTAATAATTGAAAAATCTTGCTTTACTCATTTTAAACTCTAAAACCCCGCTAAAAGGGACTGTAAGGCAATTTAATTCTACAACTCTACAAGTGATAAACGGTGTCAGTATAACATGCATGTATATAACAGAAATAATAACTGAGAATTAATCACAAGGATTGCTTTCATAGGAACATCAAAAAAACACCGCAAACGCCGACAAAAATAGTCCTTGCAAATACAATGCAGCGTTACTATGGAAAAATGGCCGCCTCATGAAAAGAACTAAATGMAAGACTTTTCATTTCAATCGAATAATTGTTCTGAGATTAAACTGGAACCCAATGTATTTCTGTTTCAGCAAAAACCAATAAGACTCAGTGTCTGATTTGGCTTAAGAACTAATTAATTAGTGTGAATAAACGGGAACTTCAACGGGAATTTCTTCATAATTTCTTTTTCTATTGGTATTTATCCGGCGTCGAGTTACAATTAGGCACCTAAGGTTTCAAATGCCTTTTTTGTCATACATGAGTGCTTTTGAGTGTTTCGTTAATAAGATAACGGTTGATAATAGTTTGACACTAGGGAATATCACTTATATTATTGCTTTTTAGGTTTTGTTGTATTTGTTTTATCAGTAGAGATCAAAGAGTTATATGTTGGCTTTTAGACGGTTCTCTATGAACGACTACTAGTGTACTTTCTAAGTGGCCTGCCTTCCACGTCCACAAATCAAGACACTTTGGACAGTTGTTTTTAGTTAAAACTACATTTTTAACGAGAACTGAAATCTTTCTTGGCGCGATGAAATATAAGGTCTATAATTTGATTTCAAAATGTTTATTATGTTACTAATGACAACTACATCAACATTATTCAAAACGCCCTTTTATATAAACTCAATTTAGCTTATTATACCTTTGAAATCAAAACAAGACATTTCTCCCGCCAGTTTTAGACTATCGTTCTTTTAGCACTAATTAAATAATGGTGTCTGTTTATAGTAAGAGCCGGGATGGATTTTATTATCAGCATGATTGAAAAAGAAAACTACTGACAGGTGGCTCAGATGCGATCAAAGTTTCCTGCCGTTCATCTATTCATTTTTCTATTATTCATTAATTCCATTAATAGATTTATTTAAAATTGCAGACAAAGTTTCCTCCACGCAAGGAASACACGAGAAGAAGCTTCGTGATCAAGTGTTCAATCTATATGATAAGACCGTTCGTCCAGTCCTTCACCCCAGTCACATTATCAACATTTCGTTTGGTATCCAATTGAGCAAGCTTGTTGAACTGGTAAGGAGTAAATCATTGCGAATGAAGCAGTAGYTAGTTTCTTCTCGAAAAGTCTGAGAGTGCGGTTTGCGGTCAGCAGAAGTAGAGACATATTGTCTAAGTTCTTGGAAAGGCGTATAAAGATGGAAGAACGATTTGGCCCATCAAGCTTCTTTTTTTAGTCTAGTTTCATGTCTTTTTATTTCTTGGCTTGGCTTCGTTTCAGTGATTTTCTTTAGTTCATTGGCTTTATTGTTCTCTGATTTATTGCCTATTTTTTTATTATATCGATGCAGAACACAAAAAAACAACTTCTTGTTACAGACGTCTGGGTTATACAGGTAAATATACTAMTATCTAAACCATTTCATACGTCCCCCATTCAAACGCTGGTGCCGCGGCAAGGATTGCAATTCAATTGCAATGCCGCCTGCCACTGGCCCGAAACTGTGMGGTTATTATCGTCGAGCAGCAACCGCTGTACGTCATGAACGCATTGCAAATAAAAACTGAACTTCCATCCACACTTGTATAGTTTCTATCGATACATTGACAGTCATGGGCACTAATATATTCAATGTTATTCAATGTTACTTAACAAAGTAAGCCATATGGTTATTGCATCTAGGATTCATAGTTAGTATGAATATTTAGTTAGTCTACCTTTAAGTTAATTATAGACGTTTTGAGCTGCTGGTCTCAGATCTTCTTCAGTGCAATTTGCAATTTTCAGTGCAATTTGCACTGAAGAAGATCTGAGACCAGATCGAAACGTCTGTTATATAAAAATTAAGCTAGAGACAACT